ATAAACTTGTCGGTGAATTGACTGTCGGTGAAATGGGCTGTCGGCGAAGTGATTGTCGGTGAAATAAGCACCACCCATCTTCACGTAACACCTGATCTTGCATTCTGATTGGCCAGAATCAGAAGCTTAGTGGTAATTAGTAAACGCTAAAAATACGGATATATACATTTTTATCTGTAATTTAGATAACCAAACACATGATTTTATATATCAGTCTCGATGGTTTTTAAATAATTGATTTAATAAGTAAATAGAATGTCGAAACAAATTATATAAAAAAAAATCGAAAAAATCAATATAATTTATGAAATGAAATAAATATAAGTGGATTATAATAAATTAAAGATTTGAATATTCATGAATTTATTCGGATATTCGTTCAATCTTTTTAACCGATATTTAGATGTTGAAAAATTGAACAAATGAATGTCTAGATGCTTATTTTTTCTGACCAATATCCAGATATTAAATATTGAGCAAATGAATATCCAAATTCTTATTTTTTTGACCAGACCAGATCTCTCTATGAATTAGAACCAGGTATAAATAAAATATTTCGTTTTCTTTTACAATAAATAAACATTAACAAACCAGTTGCTAAAACTAATAGAAATGTTGAAATTGAAGTTGAGACTATTAATGCCGTAGAATTTATAGCGTTAGTAGTTGGAGTAAGATTCAATGTTGTTACAGTTTTATCATTGGATGTTGTAGGAGGTATAAATTCATTAATCCATTTATAATCAAATTTGTCGCTTGTATCTAAAATGTATACTTCATTCATTGTTAAAGATGGTGTATAAATACCATTTCTTCCAAAAACTACAATCATATAATGACCAACCAAAGTAGCTGAATGATAGCAACGTGAAAGTGGTGAAAGAGTAGAAACGTTCGGTTTTGACCAAGTAAAAATCGATTTCTCGGTATCTAACACTACAAGATCATCTGAAACTGGAACCAATGTACTGTGACTAATATAACCTCCATATACAATAATACGACCATCTTTTGCTATAATATATATTTATAGAAAAAGAAGAATGTTATTTTATAGGAACATAAATTATAATACAGTATAAAAAGAAATTTTATTACTTAAAACAGAAGAATGATGTCCTCGAGGTGTAGGCAGATAACCCGTGGTAGTCTAATATATGTAAATACAGATAAGTTAAAGATTGTAAAAATTTAAGTCCTTGAAACGAAACCCACCATCAAAGACCAACTGTTATCATTGATGTTATATATAGGTATCTAAAATTTTATTTTAAAATAAAATGAGGTCATGATAATCATCATGCTTATTCATTTACTTCAATTCTCTTACCCTTAACAAATTTATCGCACCGGAAGTATCTGCACCACCTATGTAAACAATGTTATCATTCGGTAATAAAGTAACAGTGTAATCAAATCTTCCCAATGGTGCACCAACTAAACTACCAACACTCCATGTTAGTGTTTTTGTATCAAGAATATCCATAGTAGCATTTTCCACATTTAAATAACCAGAAAACATATACATTTTTCCTGTTTTAAAGTCACAAACAGAACGTGCATGTTTATTTGGAGGTTGACCAGGGGTTATTGGATTGTTCCATTGTAGTGTTTTTAGATTATAAGTGAAAACTAGGTTTGCAGGATTCGTAGCACCAAAATCACCACCAAAAATTACTAAAGTATTATTATCGGGTCCGCAAAGCGAACATGCACTCCAGGAATGTGGTGGAATAATTGACCCTAAACTAAGATTTACCCAAGGCATTGTACCTTCATTTATTTTAAAAGCGGTTGATACGTCTAAATGATAAAATTCATTAGATGGTGTCCAAATTGATCTATTTGCACTTTGAATCCAACCACCTGAAAAATATATTTTCGTGCCAGCAAGAACATTACTATGTCCCCAGGCTGTATTTGTAGGCGTAAATGCCAAAATTAATTTTATGAATTTATTAAAATAATACAAATAGAAT